GGGGGGGGGACGGGAGCGGGGGGGGGGTCACTCGCGGTTTGCAATTTGTGCAACATAGGCGATTCGACAGCGTGCCCCCTTCCGTGACTGCGGTCTCCTTTGCGATGATTGATGCATTCATGGCGCAGACGCAAGCATATCACTTGACGACAGGTCGCAGTTTGCCTACCGTTTCCCCTCAGAAACAATGTTGGACCTGCTCTGAGTACAGAGCACAACCAAAGGTTGACGCCACAATCGATCCCAAAAGGTGCATGCCTACCTTCGGCGTGGTTGTCGTCGCCAGCGACGGTGCGGTCGAGCACCTCAGCATCGGACTCCACTCGTCTACTTGGAAGTCGTCCGCTGTGTCGTCCTCTTCTCGACCCTCCCCTCCCCTCGAAGCCGACGCGTCTCGACGGATCATGCGGAGCGTGCCTTTCGCTCCGTAACGCCTAGCGGCCGCGAGGGGACCACTGCCGCTTAAGCCTGGTTGGTTTCGGTAACTACATATCGGCGTCGATTTGGAAGCAACAAGGTACGGTCGGGGAGGGAAGGTTTGCCCGCATGTGGAAGTAGTTATTGTCCGAGCGATTTTCAGTCCCGGAAGATTGTAGGGCTGGAAGGGATTATCACCGCAGTAGCAACGTGTAGGGTTTTATGTAGGCCGTTTGGGAGTCAGAAGGTACGCTTGTACATTGTTAACTAGATGGCAGGACTTGCTTGACGCCAACAACAGCAACACACCACACAACCAATCAAGAAATGGAGTTATGTGGTTGCTTAGGAGTACACGCCGTGCTATTTATAGCACGTGCCGCGAGAGTGTTTTGCTGCTTCAGTCTGATCTCAGCATCGGCAGCTCGTCGACGGTGTCAGCCACGCGGAGGTCGGCGTCAGAGAGCCGTTCCTTGAATTACGTACAGCATTCACAGTCATCCAACCCTTGGAGGTTCAAGACGTTCATGCCCCCACACCGAGGTTTCCCGATTCGGAGGTTAGGTGCGACTTACCCATAGTGCCAAGCCTGTCGTTGTCCAAACTGCACGGTTTCTGCGATCGATCCGTAGAGGGCTTTCTCTTGCTCCCGCCGCACCATTTCCTTTTCCCTGCAGACTCGAGATTTGGCCGGCTGTGAAGAGCTCGTTCTGGGTCGTCGGCGTCGTAGTAGGGAGTCATCGTTTCCGGCCTAAAATTCGGCGACAGAAAGGAAAAGGAATGTCGTGAGACGCGTGGAGGTGGGGTAATTGATACCTTGTGTTATTCGTCGATACCTCCGGCCACGCGACAGCTGCAACAGCAGTTCGGGGGGATGCTTGAAAACTCGTGGGGTCGAGAGTATTGTCTTGGAATCACGCTAGTTGGAAACCCGTTCCCTTTCGGCCAGAACGCGACCAGAAAAAACTCACTGTTTTTTTTTTCATTTTCTCCTACAGGTGTGACTGGGGAAGAGTAATACATGCTTTCGGACTCTTCACATTTGCAAAGATTTCGAATTCTTAGGGAACTCTCGTGTGAAACGATAGTGAAACGATAAAAACAAGGACGATTCCACGAGATATCGAACCACCTACCTGAAAGACGTGTTTATTTAAGTAGCATCCTGCCCGCTAGATGGGCTCCGGGGCTTATGTGCAATAGTCAATCACCCTCGTTGTACCCCCCACAGAATAAATAATACTTCTAAGAAAACAAGTTCCGGTGTGTCTCCCGCCTGTGTGACCCGGCTGATTAAACAGATAAAATGAAATTACTCTGGCTCTTGACACCGTGACTGCCGGATCTTTAGGAGTGCACGATTATCGATTGGGGACATGCAGCATGCATAAACAATATCCTGGCTTCGGCTGGGTTTGAGTTGACGCCTTCGCTGTCCTCCGCTGTTTACATCAAAATGACTTTCTTTCTAGGTCGGGCGCGGGCACATCGAAAACTGTTGTGCTTATTTTTCAGAAATGAAGCTGTAGAGAGCTTCGTTTTGGCGTCGGGCATTTTTTGAATTTTGGTCCCCTTCGAGGGACCTTGACTTGTCCGCTACAACTGACGTCTATTCATTCGCCAGGTGGTTAACACGGACGTTGCCATTGAATTCAAACTCTACTGATGTGGAAGGTATTAACAGTGTGTGGTGTGGAATCTACCCAGCTCTCAAAGCAAGGCTGTTCGACCATCCTCATCGACATCGACAAAGCGTACAGCGGGATGTCATTTACTGCGGTGCGGTTTTCGTGATGGTGGTCTGCGTTGTAGTTATTTGCGCAGGTCAAGCTAACGTTATGAATTAAGGCAACATGTGACGTCGTGCAATACATCCGTCCATGGGCCAGTGCTGGAAGCAAGAGCCGGGCTGGACGAGGGAACAACTGTGGGTCTAACGTCCAATACTTTCTCGGTTCCTTTACGGGGTGTGACATACCTTTCGAAGCACTTATTTCAGTGGGCGTACACTATCTTCGACGCAACCGAGGGTGTCCAGTCGCGGAACGAAGAACCGTACCGTGCGGTGCTCTGTATGGTGTGCGCTTTCGTGCAAATGGTGACACTTTGGAATTACTCCAGGTTGCACACCCCACCGAGGCCATTTTCAGTGCAGGTCAACCACGCACTTGCCTGATAGAGGTTGGCCAACTGTCGACGTCGAGCCGCCCTTGGTCCATCCATGGTCCCACTTATTGATTGTGTGTGGTGTGGGTGCTGGTAGTGATGTGTCTCTCGTAGTCCTTTCTCCTCTCTCTAACCTCCCCAACCTGGAACGCGGCGTGATTATAGATAGGGTTATAGGGTTCTGCGATCTGAAACGACACTTGCACGCGGTGGAACCGATTTTGTTCCTCTTCGGGATTCTGCGGGCTGCCGGGTGTACATTTCGAGCACGATCCAACCGCTGTAGTACTACAGCCATCGGAATACGTTTGCGACCGCGAGAGCTCGGCGGTCAAAACACAGTTTACTTGAAGAGATGGGAAGACTTTTGCCGAGGATCTCGAGCTGGGCTGCACTCACCCTATGCGCTGATGGCATCGTTCGATCAGCCGGAGACCAGTGCAGCACCATCTGTGATTTGATCAAAGCCGAGGTGTCATCGTCGGAAGCTTGTGCAAAATCTAGGAAAAGCCTGCCTCGCCCCAAGATCGGTCGGGTTTGCCAGGTGAAAAGGAGGGGAGAAAGCTGCCTCGGTAGTACAGCTAGCGCAAGTGGCCAAAGTTGAGAATAAACAGAGGACAAGTTGTACACTGCTGTGTCGGTATCTCTCGCCAAATGGCCGCCACTCCCAGAACCCCTGGATCTATCTAGTCTTGACCTACAACTGCCAACGCGTCACCACTAAATATGGGTCACGAGACCGAATGATACAGAGCAAGACTGCGGTCAAAAAAGATGGCGCTAAGAAAAAGGGGAAAATATTAAAGGAAATTCAGGACACAGCTCAACAAAAGGTATACTTACTGGTGTCCGCTCTGTAACCTATAGACTACTCAACGGCGTTGGTGACGCGATAAGAACTTAAGCTACCATAGTGACAGGTGTTTCTATGCCGTCATCTCCATGTCGCCCTCTACAACACCAGTGGCTTCCCGTACGATGGAGATGTCGAGATTACTATGTAGAGAATTGCCCCAAGGTGTATCGCATCGTTTGCAACGCGTTGTGGAAAGTATTGTTTCTCTGATAGTTTTCTCACCTCAAGCGACAATCAGTGGCAATCGAACACGAGTTTCCGGTAGGCGACGCAGTGGTTCAGCTGGTAACCTCGAAACCGTTTGACTCTCCAAATTGAGGGGTCGACTTTCTCTAGAAAAAAAATTAACACCGAGTACCGTAGGGTGGAAGACGAATAGTCGGGAGTAAACACAAGTGAGGAAAAGGAAATAGATGGTGTTGACCCTCCTGCTATGTAACTCCGACTGTCACGCAAAATACATGTACACCTACCTTGTAGACTGGAATCCATAATAGATGGGCCCAAAACAACAGCAACAACAAGCCTGATAACTTTCCAAAACTGACTTGAACTTTGTCTAAACGCCACAGGAGTGCCAACGGTTCCATGTGTTTTTTCGCGCTCCACTGCCGTATTTTTCACTCTCATTCTCCGTGGTATCATTGCCCGACCTTTCAAAATAACTAACCTAACGGGAGCACGGACACAAGGGACAACAACTTTGAGTCTATGACCCTGGATTCAGGTTCGGCAGTACACTCCATACAGATCAGAGGAACACGGCGGAAGGATGCCTGAAGGGTTCACGTGCGTCTGTTGCGCCTGTTGTACCCCCTTTTGTTCATTTTCGTGTCTGTTGTCGCAGGAAGGCTTTGATGAGGCCTTCAACCTCACGTGCAGGGAGCTTTGTTCCTTTCATGGGACGAGTAGACTTGTTCCAAGTCACCTTGGCGGCGCATGCGACAAACGGTGAGCGGGGTGCTTTTTATTGAATATTTGGCGACGTTGAAAGACGTCAATTTACCGTGCTGGTTTGCAAGGGTTCGCTGGTATCGAATATTGCGCAATGATTAGGAGACTTTGCTTTGTTAAGGTTTGGACCGCCCAACCTTACCGACAGTGAGCCGTCGGCTTGTGCGTGCAATGCCTGAGTGTACGCATCGGTACACGAAAACTGCGGGTACCTGACGTCTTTCTTTTGTTGTACATGCATGCGCACTCTGCTGAAATAATATCCTATGAATGTGTACCAGGGGTATGCAGCGCAATGTACAACAGCCAAGCATTCCCACCGTAGTACCCTCGTTTGAACGTCCCTCAAACATGCAACACGACGCCTTCCACAGGAAACGGGAGGTGCCCAGGCCTGCCGTTCACAGGGCATGTGTGGATGGCTTCAATGCAGGCCTAGCAGCGACGACTACATTGGTCACCAAGCGCATAGAATCCGTGAGTGAAATGGCGACGACTTGGCACGAACTCATACTTGCGCGCGGAAAGGCCATTTCCCTCCCAAAAAATGAAGAAGCTGATACGCCGAAAATGACGCCACTAAACCGGGAATGGAGGATGCCATTTCCAGGCGATCTTGGGGCGAAAAAGCATCCTGCTTTGTTCATTGGAGTTTCTTAGAGATCCTACGAAAGAGCGAGTTCTCTTATATTGAGCTGAAACGTCCTCGGTGTTGGTCGGCTTTTTCACCCCGTCGTCATCTCCACCGCTACTATCTTTGTCGGTTCATCCCGCCTTAGATGGACGACGATGCGAGGAATAGCTTCATGCAAAACAACGCCAACTTGCTGAAGGAGGCTGACGCCGAGCGTGACACTTCAAAAGAAGTTGCGAAAGCAAGGGACGCCCAACAAGTACAGCAGGTACGGTGCAATACGTCCGAGATGATTGCCACCATTTTCGTCGAAAAAATGCTATAGTTTTCGAAACGATACTAGGAGTCGATGGTTTCCCCCTGAAGCGGCTTTGATGGTTTGATTTGGTTGTTGCAAAGGTTTTGGCTGTCGAGCTTGCGGAGCATTTGTTGGGTTTGCCCGTCATTTCGACTTCACTGGGGCCGATAGTGCTACACACCATCCGTGTTGCCGTCCATATCCAGCCTTTCCGATCGGCGGGAAGCGCGAAATAAATGCAGTTCCATTGCTTTCGCTCTTTCGACGTGCTTAATGCTTCCCTCGTGATTCCCCGCATCTTGACTATAAATAGAGAGAGGAAGCGCAGGAGAGCGCGCGAAAAGCTTTCGAAGAGAAATCGGCAGAAGTCCAGCGCGAGAAGGAGGCCTTATCGAAGAAGCAGGAGCTTGAAACGACCAGGGTAGCGGAGGAAGCCGAACACAACCTAAAACAAGCGGAACAGGAAAGACAGGCACGCATGAGTGTTTTGTGTCCTGCTGGGTATAGAGAGACTAACAGGGGGGCTTGAGAACTCTGCGAGAGTCCGCGAAGGTCCCGGCATCTCCCGGAAACCAGGTCCGCGTCAACGTGGATGAATGCGTTTATACAAATGGAACCAAGTGTGTGAAAGTATTGGCGAGCTCTTGGTGTGCTGAGTCTCCTCCCGCGGGTGTCGGACCCTTTTTCAACATTACAAGACATAGCTTTCTGATTGTTTGCCTCAATGCTATGCGGCAATTTGCTCCTGCACCCGATTAAGTAGGAGCGAATCAAAGCTGCAGACCCAAAGGACACGAAGGAAGACACAGGCGTCGATAGCAGCGCTGCAACTACCGACCGCAGTGGAACTGCTGCTGCGCACTCAAGGCTGCAGAGGATAATTCCCGAGGAGACGAGAAAGGATGCCCCAATCTCTGGTGCGAAAGATTTCTCTGGCGCAGGAGCTGGCGGAGCGCACTACCCGGAGCTACCCTGGGCGGTGCAAGCCATGGGAGTCGAAGCGGAGAAAGCATGGGTGCCTGTCGAGGAAAGGGAATTAGAAAGCAGGGAAAGCGCGGAAGCGACTCCTACCGGTGAAATGCTCGAGGAGGCTCTTACACCTGGAAAACGCACTCAGGGGTTGCAGTCTGCGCTCGAAGACTACGACACACACGAGGTCAATGCTTTGCCAGCGGTGGTGGTAGAGAAGGAAGCCTACGCCGGTTTAAAGGATGAGCGCACCATCGGAGTCCGGAATGACCCAACGTATCGAGACATGGCGGAGAGCGTGAAGGGTTTGGAGGTTCCGCTGAAAAAGGAGCGTGCATCAAGCGAAGCGGTCGACGGCCAAGCCGGTTTGGAACCAGACCTTGAGCGAGATGCCACCTCAGAGGATGACGCCGCCATAGCACTGTCAAACGACCGCCGGCAACAAAGTATACGAATGAGCGTGAAGGGATTGGAGTTTCCACTGGCACAGGAAGGTGCTCCAAGCGAAGCCCTCAACGGCCAAGCCGGTTCGGAAGCAGACCTTGAGCGAGGAGCCACTTCGGAGAAAAGCGCCGGCGTCGAACTCTCAAACAGCGGCTGGCACCAAAAAGAAGTGGCAGCAACAGGAGCAGTTCTAGCGAAACGGGGTGCTCTTGATGACGGCTTGAAATATACTGGTGGAGCTTTCCAGCAATCTCGTGAGTACCCTGAGGCACCCAGTGCTGAGAACGTCGAGGACTCTTGAGTCATTGGTGGAATAGAATGAACCGCCGCGCGAGAGGCTTGGTGAAGGAGAAACAGCGGCAGAGACCGGTTTAGACGCCGGGTCGGAAAATAGCACCGTCACAAACCTTGCGAACGACCGCGTTTTTCTAGAAGCCTTCATGCAGGAGCACGTTCAGGGTTCTGAAGCACCGTTGGTACAGCAAGATGGACCGGCAAGCAATTTCGATGATCCAGACGATGAATCGGCAACGGCGTAGAATGGGACAAAGTTTGGTTCAGAGGATACCCTGGAACCCATCTATCACGAGGGGCTCGTTGCCGAACGTGTTGACGGGTTTGAGAGCGATGATTTATGTGTTCAGGATGTTGGCCTTCTGCGCGATACGGTGGCCAACCCAGCCGCTGAAGCACCAGCAGAAACCAGAAAGAGCCTGCATGTTGGTGGCGGACTTACCGATGATTTACCCAATGCTTCGCCGTATCGCTGAGTGCCTTCATTGGAGTATGCTGAGGGACCTCTGCGTAGAGAGGACACCTGGGAAAACTTTAATGAGAAGTGGGGGCTGTTTTCAACATTTACCATCTGACCTGACGGATTCAGGAAAATAGGANATACGGTGGCCAACCCAGCCGCTGAAGCACCAGCAGAAACCAGAAAGAGCCTGCATGTTGGTGGCGGACTTACCGATGATTTACCCAATGCTTCGCCGTATCGCTGAGTGCCTTCATTGGAGTATGCTGAGGGACCTCTGCGTAGAGAGGACACCTGGGAAAACTTTAATGAGAAGTGGGGGCTGTTTTCAACATTTACCATCTGACCTGACGGATTCAGGAAAATAGGAGTAGCACGAATTGAATACCGACGGCATATTTATCAGTTGAGCGGTCACACAGTTCATCAGGACCACGGAATGCCTCGTCGGTTTGTCTGACATTTTTCTTAGACTATTTTCAAGAACGTACACTGTACTGCTAGACCAAAACTCGGCAGTCCTCTTCGTGTCCACATCTTACTTTCTGGCGAGCTGGCGCACACGTGCGATAGCAGAAAATTTGGCTTGGGTGGATCGTTGTATGTTCTTACAAGGGTCCCGGACGGGGGGGGGCTCAACGTCCCTCCGTCCTCCGAAGAAGGGTTGGGATCATGTCAATAAGGTTGATATGGAGACATAATACCAAGGGTGAAGAGGTGTGAAGGTTGTGACAGTTATGGTGGAAGTGGGGACACATTGCACGCGCCGCTTTTGAAGTCGATAAATGTGGATGGTGAGGAGTGGTGATGAGCATAGCTGCTGATCCTGAAACAAAAATGCGCGCGCGGAGGCGTGTAACCGCCTCGTCGGCCCGACTGTGAGCTGATGAATTTCGCCGCATTTATTTTCTTTATTTTCTCGATTATGGAGGCAACTGTACGTGCAACAATATCATACGTGCAACAACAACATCACAAACATCAGCAACAGATAACAGCCGCGTAGATAGTTATTTGCTTCCGTAGAAGTCTTAATGCGCTCAGTGGAACTGATCACCTAGAGCAGTGACGTGCACGACCACAGCGTGCGCGCGCGCGAGCGAGAATGTAACCGTATTTTCCGAGATCGGTGTGGAAAAGATGGTTTCGTCCTCGACAGACGTTGGGGAGTTTCAACCTTCATGCAGGTGGTCTCCACATTACCCCCCCCTTTTTCGAGGCTTCTTTTTGTTTGCTAGGCAAGAGAAGTCTTCTTGGGGTAACCGGAACCCGACCGGCTGGCGGCGAGTAGAACCCCCTTTTTTTCCACCATTCCTCTGTGCGTGTGTGCGGGTGCGCCACTTCCGCCACGCATTGCCAGAAGTTTCGAGTTCGAAAGACATCAGTGCATCGTTTCTTGGCCCACCCACCGTTTTTCTTTTTTTCCGTACTCCGGAAGAAAATTTGGTGAGCAGCGGGTTTTGAACCCGTGTCTTTTGCAACCAAGGGCAGACGCGCTGACGTCTCTTCGTCGACGCCATTGTGGAAAAGAGGCTTTCGTCCTCGACAGACGTTGGGGAGTTTCAACCTTCATGAAGGTGGTGTCCACATCGGGCCGACTTTTTTATTTTTTCGCCGAGATCCACCGCTTGTTTTCTGCTTTTTTCTTAGCCACATATGTGACAACAGATGAATAAGAACGAATGCGCCATGACTACAACAAACCTGTAACGTCACACAAACCGATCATGCATATCGCATGAAGATACCCTGGACTATAGAGAGCGACGCACTGAGGTACTGCTTGTCACCAAAAACGTCCACTCGGTAACCAAAATATTGATTGATTGAATTGACAACTCCATTCTGTTATGCAGACGTTTAAGAAAACCCTCTGTGGTTGGCCAACTAAGTGGCTCCGCGCGTCGCGCAGCGGAAAGAGCTGAAAATTTGGTGGGAGCCCACGGATATGTAGCACTCAGCTCACCCCAGCGACTGCGCAACACCGCGCCGACATAGCGCAGCGCGCGGATATTTGTCGCTATGAGCAGGGGCGCGTTGAGCAAAAAATTCGGAGCAAAAAGCGCCCCAGTAAGGCGCGAAGCCTGCGAAAAGCGTCTCTAGGCGCACGAGAGAGCAGCAAATGCTGGCACCACAGCGACCTAGATCTAAAGAATCAAATAAGTGTAATTTTCATTAGTGCTACAGTAGTGCACTCCAACCACCAATGTCAGATACCTCGTGTCTCGTGAACGTACAGTGGGCACAATGCCAAAGTGACCGTTTCTGAAAGCCATCCTTGCGGGTACGCACGTTGTCGGGAATTTTCCATGCTGACACACAACACTTCACGGAACACAAGCAATGTGAACGACACCAGGGAGTGCTGAAGAGAAGGTGTCATCATGCACTGGTGGTACATCTAGATGCAGCGAAGCTGTTGTACTGCTGTGCCGTGGTTGAGTGGTCTGGGCGTGTCAGAGAAAACGCTACTGCGCGACTTAGTAATGTATTCCAGCTCGAGCGAAAAACACCAGAATTCATCCGGGCAGCATGAAGCTATCGCTGAGAAAGTACAACAGTCTATAGATGTGTAGATAGACTAGACCTGGATGCGGTAGGCTCGTGGGTCTGCTTGAGTCGGACACACATGAAGGATCAGGTGAATTTGGAAGATATCACCACCGCAGCTGCTGTAGTCTAGTGATATTTCCATACGCTCCACGTCACCCTTGTGGATGGAGAAGGTTGAGAGTTGCTTCATGGTACTGCGCATTCCTTGTGGCCCTGCAATACTCCTTGAGGTGGCCCAGTCTGCAGTGCCACAGGTAGTTTCGATGACATGGTACAAAAATGTGACGGCCCATGGGTCACCATAAACTACTGACCCAAGCGTTGCTTCCAATAATTCTCAGATGGCTGACGATGTACGCCGCATGAGCGGCCAACGACAACGATTGAGCGGCTCTTGGAACTCCGCAGGGTGTTGGTTGACTGGCGGCCCATGGTAGCCATTGGGCGGTTGATGACCCATTAAGGCCCAAGAGCGGCCCATGAGCGGCAAATCTAATTTCGACCCGTGACGGCCCATGGCGACTGACGCGTGGTGACACATTCCAGCCGTTGGGCCGACGAGGGTCTTGATGGATTGATAGACCTTTGGTACTGACTGGATCGACAACAACCACCCGTTTGAGGTGCCCAAGCGGGCAACCAGCACGGGCAGGTGACATGCAGTTGGGATCACCACTGCAGATATTCAATCCTCATTAAATAATATGCTTAGACTAAAGGTAGAGAGACTAGGAGACCATGAGACCAGTAAGACCACAAGACCGGCCGGTCCCGGGCCGCCGGGTCGAAGGGTCAAAGGGAAAAAGAGACTGGACCACCGGAACAAGAACCAGTTCTAGAACTACTGTGCCTATTGACGGAGCTGTACTGACCCTATCATGTGGTGCTCGTTCCTAGTTCTTAGTGTCCGGACTCTTGTTATTTCACTCATTCCACCGCCCGCCTCATCTGGCACTCCCTGGGTTTATCTTCGGCCTTTTGAAGACCCCCGGTCGTGTGTCCTGTATTCGCAGTCGTGCTGGCCACTGGATCTGTGTGTTTCGTCATACGAGAGCTATGTATGAGCCTACACATTCGCTGGGAGAACGACCGGTGCAGAGTCGGGACTGAAAGTGGTAGACTAGGGTGTCGTCTACGTTGACTATTTGTAGTCTAGTCTACGTTGACAGTGTAGTCTACAGCAGAATGGGTCGACCTACATGCAGGGGTGAGGCGCCGCGCGGGGTAAGGAGCAGCTGGTGGCGGTGGTGGCGGAGGTTATCCCAGGAGCCAAACACGTGTGCCAACTTCTTTGGGCTTTCTATGGCTGCAAAAAGAAGGGCCCTGCGGTAGGCGTCCAAGGCAAGTGCTGACGGAAATGTTCTTATTTTTTCGTTCTTATTTCTTGCGAAGATGCCGCGGCTGCTACTGTCGAAACATCAGCGCCGGCGATCAGAACGATTTCTTGTCTATCCAAAAGTCCGTAGACTATGGGTTGTACGACACCGGAACCTATAGGAGACGTGGCGACGGAAGCCTTGAGCGCTCTCGAGATGGAAGCCCTGCACGCTAACAGGCGGCAAATAAAATTCCTACTAGACTAGCAGCGTATAGCCGGCAACGGTCGTTTGAATTTTTCATGCACCGGGAGCATCGCGGCATATAGACGACATGCATGATCGATAATTCGGGTGACCCAGTTCTATGTGCTTGGAGTTTAGAGCGGGTGGCCCATGACGGGGCGTGGATGGGTAAAAACGTATAGACGTGTTGGAAAACGTGTTGTTTACCTGTTGTATGAATCGGGGGCGTGCTTGAGCTCGTCATTCCATCACGGCATCAAGTCACCCATAACGCTCAAACACCCAAAACGAATCTTCATGAATGTCCACCAATCTACCACACTCCAAGGAAAACATAAAGAAACTTCTTGTTCCTCCGTAGTTCGTCACTGCAATACCCGCATATGTATACGCAATATACCACCCGCATGCCATGCTACGAGTATATCGAATAGCCCCCCTGCTCGTATGCATCGTCATGCTCCGGGAAAATATCATAGTCATCCTTCTCGTACCAGTTCATCCCAAAACACAATCAAAACCAAGAAAACGAAAATACTTCAGACACGACAAAAGTATCCAAATAGCATACCAACACACGCCAATCACTCTCGCTCTCTTCTGAAAATTCTCAACTCAAACTCTTTTCATCAGAAAAATATAACGAACGCCGTTCGTTCAAAGACGCCTTTCCTTTCACCGCCAATTCGTCACAATATCTCGGTGCGTCTCTAAATCCGCCTAGCTAGATATCCTACCATTACCAAGATGTATGCAATCCTTCGACAAATTATTCCATTCATCCACCAAACCTTCGTCCGCAAGTAAAACGCGAAGAAATACCATCTCCCTGAAATACTCAAAACATATCATTAATTTCGGTGAAGAAATGTCAGCAACGCCATTTCGTTTGAAAGAATATAACGTGCCCCCTGCTCCGAGGATCCGCCCCCCTGCTTTGTGAAGGGGTCGGAGTCAAGCCGAAAAACAATACGAGAGGTGCCGAAAATCAAAACAGTACTTACTTCTGATCCTCTCATCCACACTACTTCAATCAGATCTGAAAAACCAAACCCAAGCTTAAATCAAACAAAACAAACGCCAAATCTCAAACTAAGTCAAACTCAAAATGAACAACAATGCGCCACTTTTCCAGCCATAAATCCCAGCGCATTGAACCACTGCCCCTGCCATTGTTTCTCCCCGCGGATTTTCGCTCGCCACCGCGGTCGCCTTCTGTGCTGTCCTCTACGATCTAGTCGGGAATTTAGTTTCTGGGTCAACCTCGCTTCTTGGCTGAGTGATGCCTCGGACTAGTTTTCTCTGCGATCTAGTCGGAAAACGTCAGTCTTGGGTCGAGTCTCGCTTTTCGCCGAGGTCCTGCCACGCATATTGCTGTTTGTTCTCTCCAGCGAAATTCTACCCAACATCTCCTACAAACTTGCCGTAAAATCCTACGAGCTTGCGTTAAGAATTCTGACTGTCCTCGGAATAAGTCCAGTACCCAGCCGGTTTTCCTCCACTTACTGAAAAGACTCCACCATATCCCGTTCGACTGTGGGTATATCTCGAATGGGTAGTCTTTCTGTACGTGTATTTATTTCTCCTTAATTCTGACTGTCCTTCAAATGCGAATGAATGTCCACGCCTTGCTATTGTGTAAAACCCCTCATACTCTTTTCGTTGCACGATTGGCAACTATACTCTTGGAAGCATAACATCCCCTCATACGTGCTGTTGGTGGCTTGATGACCCCTCACACGTTCAGCGTGATCGATAATTCGGGTGACCCAGTTCTATGTGCTTGGAGTTTAGAGCGGGTGGCCCATGACGGGGCGTGGATGAGTAAAAACGTACAGACGTGTTGGAAAACGTGTTGTATACCTGTTGTATGAATCGGGGGCGTGCTTGAGCTCGTCATTCCATCACGGCATCAAGTCACGCATAACGCTCAAACACCCAAAACGAATCTCCATGAATGTCCACCAATCTACCACACTCCAAGGAAAACATAAAGAAACTTCTTGTTCCTCCGTAGTTCGTCACTGCAATACCAGCATATGTATACGCAATTTGTCTATACCACCCGCATGCTATGCTACGAGTGTATCGAATAATGCATACTGTAGGTGCAGCTGCCATTGTACGACCGGCAAACCATTGCCATGACATGAGGTATCGGTGCTTTGATCTTGCCGTAAAGACGAAGAAGGCGGCACTTGCCGAGAGGTAGTCTGCTGCTGTCGGTGGCTGCCGTAGGCGGATACAACCTACCATGTTGGTGTGTGGTGAGTCACGTTTCGTTCCGTTTCCACCACACGTGCCGCACATGTCAACTACAGTACTGCTGCTGCGGCTTCTCAGCTGACGTGAGTTTCAATGCGTACTGCCAAAGGCAAGTTAAGAAGGAGCGGGCACCCTTGGCTTACTTTGATTTGGCAC